TACGATCTATCTGCGGCACGTCCATGGCTAAAACTTTCTGTGACAACATGTGCATCTCACTGACTACTTCGTCCCGATCAGATTCAGAATTATCAAATAAAGAGTGATCGGACTCCGAGTCCATTAACCTCCAGTACTTCAGCCATATACCTCTGCATTGTCTGTCTGATACATTCTCACTACTCCACTGTTTGAGACGATTGCAATCTGTTTCTCTGATCAAAGAGTTGCGCAATCATTCAGGACATGCGCGCGGGTCTTCCTTACCGTATACCACCTAAAACACGGATACCCGGAAAATTCCGTGTTTGGCGCAGATGCGTTTTTTCATTAAACACGGAAAATTCCGTGTTTGGCGGGGAAAGAGTTAATGACGTATTGTCTGGAAAGGTTGGAAGTCACCAATGTCATAGTAACTTCAAATAATAGCTGAGTACCAAATAGACACCTGTCTCTTTTACACGTCGGGTGTGGCGTCAAAGTTAAAAGACACATAAAGACCGGTTTCAAATAGAGGTCTGGTCTGTTTTTTTTTTTAGTTTAGGGTTGTATTTAATGTTCTAAAAACCGTCAGATCGTCTGTTCGAGCCAGTTTTATTGCACGCAAGAGAGCCCTGCGCATCTGGGCGGGATCTGTTAGCGGAAGCCGGAGATGGAGAAGTGGAGGAGGAATTCGCCAATGAACTTGTAGTTGAGGATCGCGGTTATGATGACTGACAGACAAGAACGGTTTGACCTAAAAATATCAAAATTGAAAATACTGTGGAAACAAAGACACCTACATCTTGGATGCCCTTGATGTAAGCTAAAACATATCAAAATTAGTTTCAAAGTGAACTATCCCTTTAACTGTTTTATATATCTTTTCTTTGCCCATATGATATCAAGAAGCAACATAACATGGACATGAAAACAGGAAGGTGACGCGGTGCGTTAATCGAGTTATCCCTCCCACTTCTGCCATTAATGAATTAGCCATTATTATTACAACTGACTGGAAATATAATATGGAAATATGGAGAGCAAATGGACACTGGTTCAGAGGAGAAGTGAAATTCAAGTTAGACATCCTTTTAGTCGCCAGAGCTAAGAAAGAGCATCTTTTGAGGAATAGGTTTCATCTGGGGAATTCTAATACATGTTTTGTTTTTTTATTTTAGTTTTTTTTTCAGTGCATGTTTTTAACCTTGTTTTTTATTTTATTTATTTCATACTTTCATGTCTATTAAAAAATCAATTAGGCCATGCATACAGAGGGGGATCTGAGTAAAAATGCTCTCTAAATGACAGAGGGCTGCAATTTTTTGAGGCAAACGCTGAAGTGTTTCTCACCATCCGAGCTTTTTGTTGGAAGTTATTGCAAGGGAAATGTGAAGTTTTTGATCACTCTGAGATCAGATGACATTGTCTTTCATGCTGTCATGCACTTTAACTTTATTCTGTCTCTTAGATTTCTCTTTATTCTTGTACAATAATTTCCCTTTTGATTGTGCTTGATTGAATATGTGGCAGCGCTGGGAAGAAGCACTAATGTGAAGTACTCTCACATCATTTTCAAAGGCATTCTAGAACAGATGGACATCTGAAGAGCATATTGTAGAGCTGAACCTACCTGGGTTATTATAGTTAACAAAAAAAAAAAAGTTACTTTGAATTAAAAACGTTGAAACAATTTTTGGATTAAATCTAAAAACCACTTGAACCTCTTGAAATATTTTTTTTGAGTTGCGTACTAACATAATTACAAATATTTCCAATAGTGTTTAATCCAGAGAAATATGCAATTTTACCAAGTGTAACGGCCAGTGCAATTGCTTCGCCAGTCAATGATGTCATATCCATCATGAAAACACCATTGTAAAATGTCCCAGGCGTTAGTACAACTTTAATACATTCTCTCATCCATGAGCATGATTTCTGCCCAAGTTCCATTTGATTTCCATCGGCTGTGGAGGTGAAGAAGACAACTCCCAAGATTCCACGCTCATTCACAGCGTGAGAGATGTATTTTTAACACTGTTCCTGAACATTATAACCCCAGCGTTTGTAGGTGTGTTGCACATTTTACAGAGAACAGCTTCTAGAACCTAAGAGGATACAATTCAGGCTATGCGCACAAAAGCAAGAAGGAAGGAGGGGATTCATCTAAACAGGAAATAAATGTCATGTTCAGGGAGAGACTAGGGAGAGAAGAGCTGTAATATGTAAAATATGTGAAAAATAATGCGTTTTTTGAACAATCAAGCATGGAAAGATATTCTAGCACAACCCACAAATCAAGACTTTGTAAAAGGGCATAAAATGACCCCTTTAAAGTTAAACCCATCCAGTGGTCAATAACAGCGAGTGTCTAATAACATCACACTTGAGCAGTCAACCTGCCTAGGGTTATTGCAAGTCCACCTGTATATGGCCAAAACTGGCCAAACTTCTCTGGAGAACTTGCTGACCTGGAGCTGTTCTCCAACATAGTGTTTACGTATGCAAAGCTCTCCTCTCCTGCTCAAACTGAGGAACCGCTGGGCTTTGATCCACATTTACTGCCACGAATCTCTGGGGGAAAAGCTCATGGAAATGCAAGCCGAGGAACAACGGAATAACCTACGGCTGCTAGCTCAGCACTTTGAGTGCCTTTGAAAGGAGCGCAATGGGAGACTCTGGACAAATGTTTGCTGTGGCAGTTTTAGCCGATAATAACATTTGTAAGCTGTCCCATAATACTGGGAATTTGTTGTATGAAGTGCTCACATGCTGTGCCACATGCCAGATACAGATTAAATCAAACCAGCAGGTCCATATAAAAGCAATACACAGCAAAAAAATAAATAAATGAATAAAAGATTCAAAATACATAAATAATTTTCTTGGTTTCCTGAAAAATTACAAAAGATAATTTGTTGTATGAAGTGCTCACATGCGGTTCCATACGTCGGATACAGATTACAACACATCGGCAGGTCTATATAAAAGCAACACAACAACAACGTTTTCCTGGTCTTAAAGGGATACTCCACTTTTTTTTTTGGAAATACTGTAGGCTCATTTTACCACTCCCCCAGAGTTAAAATGTTGAGTTTTACCGTTTTCAAACCCATTCAGCCGATTATCTGATATTTAGAAGAATATAAGTAACCGGACTGTTTGGTCTCATTGACTTCCATACTAGGACAAAATATATACTATGGAAGTCAATGAGACCAGAAACTGTCTGGTTACTGATATTCTTCTAAATATATATATAAAAAAATCGGCTGAATACTTTCAAAAACAGTAAAACCCAACTGTTTACCTCTGGGGGAGTGGTAAACTGAGCCTATTTCCAAAAAAAGTGGAGTATCCCTTTAATAAAATTGCAAAAGATACATAATATATCATAAATTATGTTATACTGTATATGAAGAGTTCAGATGCAAAAGCCTCTAAGTGCCATTTGAAATTTTCTTCTAGAATGATCATTTTTATCAAGCTTGTATATTTAAGTTCAGTAATTTCACTTAAATGGCAATGATAATTACCTATTAATTGTTATTGAAGTGAAATTACTGAACTTAAATATACAAGTTTGATAAAAATCATCATTAAAGAAGAAAATTTCAAATGGCATTTAGAGGCTTTTGCATCTGAACTCTTCATATGATTAATTTGCTAAAAGTTGTGTCAAATTCTATATTATTGTATAATGATTATGTATTAAAATTATACACAGTATATATGTGGTCACGCTTTAGATTAGTTATCACTATTAACTACAACCTTCACCTCAATAATCTCCTAATTACTGTTTATTAATAATTTGTAAGGCTTAAAGTAGTTGTTAAAGAGTTAGTTCACCCAAAAATGAAAATTAAGTCATTAATTACTCACCCCCATGCTGTACCAACCCCGTAAGACCTTCGTTCATCTTCGGAACACAAATAAAGATATTTTTGATTGAATCTGAGAGCTGGATCACTCTTCCATTGGCTTCCTAAGGGACTGGCTCTTGACGGCCCATAAAGTCATTAAAGAAAAGGTTTAAATATTCCATGTGCCTACAGCGGCTCAATTATAAGTTTATCAAGTGACGAGACTACTTTTTGTGCGAAAAAAACATAAATAACGACTTAATTCCACTATTCCATTACTTCCTTATGGGCGCATGCGCGAGAACTGAGACGAGGACGTTCTTATTCGTCTACTTCTTGTTACCGGCTGCTCACCGCTTAGGAGTTTTACCGCCACCTACCGTATAAGATGATGTGCTGATATAGCTGGAAGCGCAAAACTTTCTGTTTAGAAGCAGAGGAAGATGCGCGCTGTACATACGCTTTTCAATTAGTGTATTTTCCGCACTACAAGGTGCACTTAAAAGCCTTTAATCTTCTCAAAAAACGACAGTGTTCCTTATAATCCAGAGCGCCTTATATATGGATCATCATTTTATACGGTAGGTGGCGGTAAAACTCCTAAGCGTTGAGCAGCCGGTAACAAGAAGTAGACGAATGAGAACGTCCTCGTCTCAGTTCTCGCGCATGCGCCCATAAGGAAGTAATGGAATAGTGGAATAAAGTCGTTATTTATGTTTTTTTCGCACAAAAAGTATTCTCGTCGCTTGATAAACTTATAATTGAGCCGCTGTAGGCACATGGGATATTTAAACCTTTTCTTTTATGAGTCTATGTAGGACTGATCCAGCTCTCAGATTCAATCAAAAATATCTTTATTTGTGTTCCGAAGATGAACGAAGGTCTTACGGGGTTGGAACAGCATGGGGGTGAGTAATTAATGACTTAATTTTCATTTTTGGGTGAACTAACCCTTTAAATGTCGGTATTGGGTAGGATTAGGAATACAGAATATAGCCATAGACGTTAATATGTGCTCTATAATTACTAATAAACTGCCAATATCCTAGTTAAATGCATGCAACTACTTAATAGTGAGAATTGGACTGGAAACTGAAGTGTTACCATATTTATTTATTATTGATATCAAAACTATTTGATTGTTTTTGTTCAAAGCTCGTGGCATCTGATGGTGTTCAACAGAGCAGACCTGTGACAGTGGACATCCTGGTCATCGATGCGAATGACAACACGCCCACCTTCAGTCAGGTGTCCTACAATGTGGAGATCTTCACTAATATGCTACCTGGAGAGACCGTCCTGCAGGTGAGGACACAGGACATCAGTAAAACTGAGAAGCCATGAGAACTTATGAGGAGCCATTTATGAATCACTTATTCATAGCGGGGTGTTTGTTGAGAACTTGTAATGTGATTTGGAGTGTGAAATGAACTCGGCACAATGTTTGTTTCATTAATAACTGAGGATTCTGGTCAAATTACTGAATGTGATTCAACGGCCTGGAAAGTCAACGTCTTTTTTTCCCCTCGATAAAATGAGTACAAAATACATTGAAAAATGAAGCACAGTCATTCAGCTAAATGAACGTGAAGCAGAGCAAGCAATAAAGCAATCTTTTAAAGAGGAAATGGATTATATAAACTGCAGCTAATGAACTGGAGTGACAAACTGCAGTGAGTCATAATAAAATCTTCAACATCACACTGTGATCTGTTCACATCTTTAACCTCACGGAAGCACATTCAAATGAAAAAAAAATATCATTTTTTCGCAGTCTCTTGTGGATTATTTGTTACCCTATAACTTAACCACATGTTTTAGTTATGTGACAGTGCTTTCAACAGTGTAGCCTTTCCAACACATTCACATGCTTTGGTGTCATATAGGTGACGCCATATGACATTTCGTGGAAATACTACGCACATAGCACCCTTTAGCGCCAATATATTATAACACGCACTGTTATGGGTAGGTTTAGGTCTCAGGTAGGGTCTGCGTCTCATATTGACGCTAAAGGATGTCAGTCACCTGTATGATGCTTTGGGTTCTGCGTGGTATATTGACGCTAAAGGGTGCCATGTACGTAGTACTTCGACGAAATGTCATATTTCGTAAATGTCAAAGGATGACAACGGGCTCGCCTTTCCAGTAGTCTCAGCCTCAGATTTCACGCGCATGGACCATTGGTTGAACGTCTGATGCATAAGTTGCACAGAATAGGAAACACTTTAGAAAGATTTGTCATCTAATTGGTTGAATTCTCCAGGATTTCCTGGAGACTTGTGTGTCATGTTCTTTAATGCATTAATTTTTCCCCAATCATTATTACATATACGAGTCTTTAGCGACCCAGATCTATATCTAACATGGATGGATTTTACCTGTCGCGATAATATAAAACTCTCCGGATATTAGAGTAACAATTACAGAACAATAAAGTAAAGCATATTTTGTTATCTTCTGGAGCTCGGAAGGGTTCACTTTGAGCAGATGTTTTATACCATCATCACTGACCTCGTCAAAACTGATTTCCCAGTACATTTAGCATCCCGCTCATATTCGCGATCTCAAACGTATTCTCAAAATGTTTTAACATCTTATTTTGATAGCTGACAGCTTCTTCACCAGATCAACCATCAAGTGACGATGACACTAATATCTGATTGTGTTCGGTACTTGCTCTGCAGTAAATCACTCAGCCACTTTGAATTTGCTGATGATACTTCCTATTCTTTTGTTTTCTGTCTGCGGTATCTATGGGTGAAACGTCACTTCATCATTGTGGAATAAATGGAATTATTCAGTCATCAAATAGTCAGTTATTAGGGGTGAAACAGTACATGTATTCGTATTGAACCGAAACGGTACGGGCGTCACGGTTCGGTGCACGAATTTACACGGAGAACACACGGTATAAAAATAAATAAAACTCGGGTGCATATTAATTAATGTAATGCGGAACTACTGTTAGATACGCGGGTTCTTTAGGGACACAAAATCTGTACCATTGGCTAGCTCTGAATGTGCAGCGCAGTCTCATCCCAAGACATCATATAACTGACGTCTTGGGACGTCTTTTGACCATACGTCAACATCCGCCTTTTTAGGGTACCCTTAGATGACGTGCTGCGTTATCGGATCCTAACCCTACCCCAGACCTAAACCTACCCCGTTACCTAACTGACGTTAAAAGTAAAGCGTCAGTTATATGAAGGCCCGGGATGAGACTGTGTTAGAACGCGCGTTCACCTCAAACGTTGGCTTTATACGCGCGTCCTCGCTTTGCGTCGAACTAGACGCGAATTTGGCGCTCTATTCACATTTGGTGTGAACAGTGTATATGTGTGTGTGTGTGTGTGTGCGCATGCGTTTGAGAGAGAGAGAGAGAGAGAGAGAGAGAGAGAGAGAGTGGCGCGATAGAACAGTGGAAACATAAAAATATTTTTCTTATATTTGTGTACACTCGCATAACATTGTGTTTTTGTCACCCTGTAAACTCTTGACAAACTGTCAAGTCAAGTCAAGTCACATTTATTTATATAGCGCTTTTCACAATACAGATTGTATCAAAGCAGCTTCACAGTGATAACATGAAAGTAGTACAACACAGATCAATAATATTGCTAAACACTAAATAACCCCAACTGAGCAAGCTCAAAGCAAGCCAAAAGCAAGGCGACAGTGGCAAGGAACCAAAACTCCATCAGATTGGATGGAGAAAAAACCTTGGGAGAACCCAAGCTCAGTCGGGGGCCAGTTCTCCTCTGGCTTACATTCATATTGTTTATATATAAATATTAAATATAAATATTGTTTATGTATAAAACGGCGCCATAACATATCGCAGGCGTTGAGTCGTCTCTTCACAGGCGTTGAGTCATCTCGTCACAGGCGTTGGGGCATCCAAAATCCCTGTGAGAGGCTGGAGACAAAACTGGACCTGACGAACGCCATTTTTCTCGGGACAAGCGTCCCGAGATAACAGCAGAAAGGCAGATGGGAAATAATTAGCATAGCTGATGTTCATAATGATTTCCATTATACGGGAGTCGGTGTTAGAAAACCACTATCTCACAAACTCTCCGTAACCCAACCATATGCGCCGACCCGTTTGACTAAGGCTGTCGAGCCCCACTGTCGCAGAAATGCGTTTCAGTGGCAAACGGTTCCGTATGGCATAACAGAGGACTAGAAGGTAAGCATTATGTGAATGCTTGACTAAAGAGAAGCGTCTTTAATCTAGTTTTAAACTGTGTCAGCGAGTCAGAGCCTCGGACCGTATCGGGAAGGCTATTCCAGAGTTTTGGAGCTAAATGCGAGAACGCTCCTTTAGTGGACTTCGATATCCTAGGAATGACCAGAAGCCTTGAATTTAGTGATCTTAAGGAACGCGGTGGATTGTAGGGCGAAAGAAGGTCCGTTAAGTACATAGGAGCTAAACCATTTAGGGCTTCATAGGTTAGTAGCAGTATTTTGTAATTGATACGGAACTTAATAGGTAACCAGTGTAGAGATGATAACCTACTGTGAAACTGTAACCTACAACTTTCACCCAACCAAAATCACACATACACACTGTTTTAAAAGCAAAACATATTTATCCAACTCAAAACGGTCCCATCTTTTGGACATTCGTCATATTCCTCGGAGCACTAATCTTACACTAGAAAATCTAATGTGTTTTTAATGGTAGAATTATTTTATACAGAAATCAATGATCTATAATTCAGATGAGAATAATGTTAAATTGTTAATTAATAATGCTAATAAAAAATAAGGAAAACAAACATATTGATCTGAATATAGCAAAATAACTTGATTAAATGAATCCAGGTACAATTACCAAACATATCGCAAGGTCTTTTTGTCTTTTTATTCATTCAATTAATAAACTAATTGGTAACACTTTACAATAAGGTTCGTTAGTTAACATTGGTTAACTACATTAGTTAATATGAACTAATAATGAATAGCACATATACAGCATTTGTTAATCTTTGTTAATGTTATTTTCAACATTTACTAATACTTGATTAAAATCTTGTTAACATTAGTTAATGCACCGTGAACTAACATGAACAAACAATGAACAGCTGTATTTTCATGAACTAACATTAACAAAGATGAACAAATGCAGTAACAAATGTATTGCTCATGGTTAGTGCATGTTAGTGTAGCAAATGCAACATATAATAATATACATAAAATGTATTAAAGGGGGCCGAAGGCCAATTTAGCTCAAAGGGAAATGATTCATTGATTTGCAATGAATCTATGGAACCGAATCACTGAACCGAGCAAATGACTCGCTTAGAGTTCATTTGAACGGGCCGTAATTATAACCAAATCTATAGTGAAACACTATGTCTTAGCAAGGTAACTTTAAATCGAACAGTACAAGACATTAAATGTGCAAACACGACACAAGAAGATTTATCTTTTCAAATATATGGACAAGACTTTATTAGCTATTCTAAACACAAAACTAAGGTCTAAACATAATCACGCACACGCACACACACATTCATACAGTCGCGAAAGGGAAAGAGTGAGTTGGAAAGAGTGAGAGAGAAAGTGTCAACTTTCTATATGCACGTAAGACATAACCTGAAAGGACCACCAAGCATTAATTTGAACCTTCATTTCTTAGAGAGGTTATTCAATTAACATCAAAGCACCAGTTCAGTTAGAGCCTGGAGTACTTGCGCTTTGTAGTGGCTGAGGGAATTCCCTTTGTCTGCGTCGCGTCGAAGGGGGGTTTCCCGGCCGGGTCCGTTGCGTGGTTTGTTGTCTTTGAAGTGCAGGGATGGAAGTTTCACCGCTGGTCACGTGTGATTAGCAAGCGAATGAGAGTCTTTTCCAATTCGAAGCGCGTTGCAAACTTAACTTTGAAACGAGACTTTTACGAAAAAGGAAATAAAGGAAAGAAATGAAAGCAAGGCGAGTCGGATGGCTTGACTGAGCTGAATTGTAACCCTGATCTTGATGGGTTATTCGTCTGCTGGTCGAATTTGGTCTAGTCGATGTAGAAGCATGTGGACATGTTCTTTGTTTCAGAGATAAGCACGAACAGAACACTCTCTTGCTGGTTTTAGAGAGAGGCACGGACTTAACAGTTACAGAACAGAACAAAAATCACCTGAAATCTTCTAAAATCTACAAAAATCTGATCATGAGGTCCTTTGTTCGGATCTTTAACTTAAACTCTAGTCCAACCTCCAAGAAGCTTCTGGCCAATTGGAGGCTGATCTACTTCTTGCTTTATCATAATTTATGCATGGTCTGTGAGCTGGTCTCCAGCACTTAGCAGAGACAAAAGACCATCGTTTTAACCTTATGATAATTATAATAATAAAACAAAACCTTTTACGCA